TATATCGATATTTTTTAAAAACTCGATATATCGCCCAGCTCTAACAACAGGCAACAAAAATCCCCCCCTTCACTCTTTGTTCTTGCACTCTGTACAGTGTTGCTTCCTCAAACATAAAAAGATGCCCTTTTAGATTACATTCAATGAGCTCTGTAGTGGATTATGTTGTAGTGTGGATTATGGGATTAAGATATACACATACAGACTCTGACCACTGTGCCCCACCAGACAAAAAAAACAAAACAAAAAACCACAGAATGAGAGCCTGAATAATTCTGGATTTTATGTTTTTTACCAATCAATTTATAACTTGAATGTGTTAGGGTTTTTCTGGATTTTTAGTTGATATTCTGTCTTTCCATTAAAATTAAACCGAGACTGTTCATCTCTTTGTAAATGAGCAAACTTTCAAATTCAGCAGGGGATCAAATAATCATTTCCCGTGAGAAACACGGATGTAGAGGAGAACAAGCCCGACCAGTTCATCGGACGCTATAATCCATAGCAATAGACACCAAACTACTGCTATCACCTGCAACGCATTATGATATTTTATGCAATATTTTGTAAGCAACTCAAGTACGAGGCCTTAATGAAAACTAACAGTATGCGATAAAGCTCCACTTTAAATTAGCCACGTTATTAGCGATTTCCCATTTGAAATACGGTTGAAGTGCCAAGTCTATTCCCGCTGCATCGTCGTCTCCGTTGAGCCATAAGACAGCAGCAGGTGTGCTGGCTGAATAATTGCTCTCCTACAGAGAGAGTGATGACACATGCTGCTCATCATGTGTTCTTTGCTTTAAAGATTTCAAGTGTTCGTGCGGATGCCGGTCACTCTTAAACCACAGGTGTTTGGGAAGATGAATAGTTTGTTTTTCTTAACTGCTTCAATTCTGCCATTGTTGTGCACTGGTATAAGTAGATCCATCATACACAACATTTCTGCTCTTAATGCTGCTGTTGTACCATGGCTGGCAGCAAAATGAAAAAAAAAGTATTGGTTTGTTGGTGTGTTTGAGTGGTTTGTGGGAAAATGAAGAAACTCTGTTTTTAAACATAAAAAAACCACAGTGTGCTTTGGAGGGCATCCATCCATCCTGGTTTGCTACAGAATAAAATCAAACACTATCGATGGCTCAGAGGAGAGGACTTTTGCGGTACAGACTGTCATCTTGCTCTCAGTGTTGCAACAAGTAGCCCGGTTATAGCGATCTAAAAATATGCTAAGGTCTCATGTCAGATTTCTGTCTCGTGTTGGTGAAGCTGTGATTATTGTCAGCATTGTTCTGTCTGCACGTAAGAGTCCAATGAGTGAATTCTGAGTCATAAAGTGGGTTTTCCTCCATGAGTTAGGGTGTTTAGTTAGGTGACGACGTTAACAGCTGTCACAAATATACAACACTTTAAAAAGAATACTGACAGACACCAGTGCTACCTTGAGTTATCGCATTTACAACATTTTCAGAAAACCTCAGAACTTGTTTTTGACATCGAGGTAAGTGAGATTTGAACTCGTCAGAGATTTTTAGTAGATGCACCTATGGCATCAATTTGAAAACCCTAAGTTCCCTTGTTCTTAAGTTACTGTGCTCACAAAGTTGGGTTCCAAAACCCAGAGAAGGCCGAGCATGGTGGTCAGCATTTGGCGTCTTGGTCGCAATTTACTCCTCCCTCACCTCCATCAGCACCGGCTTTATCTTTATGTGGCTTTTACAGTTTGTGTATTAAGTGTTTAGTGTTGTGTATTAGTCCTGATGGACTAAAAGTAGTTTAGGGGAGAAGCTTGAATCCGCCAGCCCGCTCTGAGGTTGGTTCATGGTCTTCTTCTGCGTGTTTTAGCCGGGGCTCCCATCTCTTTTTGTTGCAGTTGTTTGTAGGTCACTATTTTCATTATTAAAGGCTTGTTGAATGGCAGCAGTGAGACCGCGAGACGTTGCGCAGTACAAAACATCACTACAGCTTCAGCTGAGTTATTGTAGTTCTCAGTTTGTACGAGGACGATTTTGTTTTTCTCTTAAAGTTTACATAGTCTCGGTTTAAAGCTTACGTAACCTCTAAGCTTGAGGGACTCATCCACTTAAATCCTGCCTTCCCTAGCACTTTGCTCACACACAGCGAGCAGTATCACATCATATTTAAACTCTCCTCACTGTAACATTCAGTGTGCAGGCTGCATGGTAACATCAGAGCAATGGATGCAATATTTTCCCCCCATTTTCATACATTTTAAATAAGCGCTGTTTTGGAAAAACACTTGACAAAAAAAACACAAGCTTTTTGATGATGTGAAGTGTGAGGTAAACACCCCCTCCCCTCGACCGTTTCTCACTCCCCCACACACACACACACACACACACACACACACACGCTCTTTGTCTCTCACAGACAGCCCAGTGATCCACAAAACATTGTGACAGCCTAGTTACACTGACAGCTCTCTCACTCACACACACACACTCACGCATGCACAGCAATTACCGCAGATACTTGACAGCGAGACTTAGGAAGTGCTTGTGTGTGTGAGACTAAGGTATACACAACTCCTGTTAACTCCATGGTAACTAAGGGTAGGACAAATTTTGGTGTGACGACATATCGGAGTGCTTTTTCTTGTGAGAGCTTTCTGCAAAATACCCTAACTAAAGTTTATTCCACTTTTCAGAGCCAAACTTTATTTCAGACTCATGACTGAGACTGAGTCATAAAAATATATAAATATTTCTACTGAAGTAAATATTGTAAAGGAAAGGGTTACTGGTAACAACATTATGAATATAATAATTATGGAGCTGCTTTGAAGCCAAGAGAAATGAGATATTCAGTGGATCCTTTCATCTGAAAGACGAAGATGAAATCCACCATGAATCTTCCTTCAGTACTTCAGACCTGTTTTACTTGATGGCATCTGGTTCGGACCCCAAATTTTGATGCTTTTATCTGCTTTTTAATGACTGTTTAGGTTTTCTGCTACACTTAAAACATGAATGTAACGTCTGGGTGAAACCAAGGCAAAGGGGCTGATTTGCGTGGTTGCAAAAAGACTTCTGTACCTATAGAAGTCGGGAAAACGGCTTCTGTAAACACCTGATGAGTTAATGGGCTCAGTCACTCATTAGTTAGATCATTTTTTAAGATTTTGTAAATTCTGGTAATACTGTGTTAAAGGATTATTTCGGGTTTGCAACAATCACAAAATAAGAACTTGTGATTGACAAGTTGTTAGCCGAAGAGCATGCGGTTTCACACTCAGACCTGCCTCTTCTCATCGCATCAGGTTTTCGTGAAAACATCTAAAAGCTTCAAAACAGGACTTCACAAACAAGTGGGTGACACCAGGTGGTTTATGTTCTTACCCAGCACTCAAACCATATTTTATACTGCAAGCTGCATCCAGCATTTGCTAATTTAATCAACTCAATGTTATTTGAAAAGAGGGTCATCAGTCATTAAATTCAGCACTTCATTCATCTTTTCCTCCAGCTTTCTTGGGGTACCTTTCACATTTACTCACAGATATTATGAAGCATCACAGGTGACCCGTCACGTAGGGCGTTAAATACTGTGATACCACTGGTGTGGCTCCTCGGTGAATCCTACTCATAATAGAAAAACATGTGGCCAATGCACAGAAACAAGTCACTCAGTGTTTCCATCCCACCGTGAAACTAACTGAATATTTATTTGGTTTTTTTAATTATCACACAAGTGATTTTCATTGAACCACAGACCACATTAATTAGGTCAGCAGAGTTTCTCAAGTTAAGACTTCTTTGTTGGCAGATTGAAACACTAATCAGTCACAGCTTAAAACTACATGATGGATGTTTTATGAAAAGCACCATAAATGACCCTGAGAGAAGCATTTGTGCTTCTAATCTAAGTACAGAATGTTGCTTTGTTGGTATTTCAGAGCCGAGGGGCACATTTTCATTTTGTTTCTAAAAGCAGATTAAATGATTACAATAATTTAACATCTTTTTTTTCCCCATTTTTTAATAACAAAATGTCTCCAATCTCATCTCATCATGTGAGGACTATCAGTCTATTGTTTTTCAATGACGGATGACAAGAAGTGGCCGCTCACAAACTAATCACGGCAATTTGTTTTATCCCAGACAGACGAAACTGATGGAAGTAATCCTTTAAAAGACACGTTTTCCTCTGAACACAATTCCCTGTTGACTCCCGGTAGCTGCTAGACAAGAAGAGCACAAACGTATTGACAGCCTGGCAGCGTCCCAAGTCGACAGTGCCGTCTCAAATCATATCTGGCTACAGAGTAATAAACACCACGACATCAATGACAAAGGAGCTGAACGGGCACAAGAATTATTCTACGCGATTCACATCAAACCGAACTAAAAGCATGAGCCATTCCCCTTCATGTTTTGCACACTCACATTTTTACATGTTCTACTCACAGTAATGAAACTGCTTAAGTTTTTAAAGCAGAAACCTTTCAGTACTTCTTACATTTAGAGGAAATTTGAGTCATTATTCTCTACCGCCGCCAAGTTTTCAAAGACCCGGCAGGCGTTAATACACAGCTGGGTGGTAATGGCTAAAATGGAAATTAGCTCTCTTGTGTAACACTGCTGTGTTTGATTAAACCACTGTGCCTCTCTTTTAAGTTCTGCTAAGTACTTGAAGTTTGACGGTGTTACACAAATCCCCTTAGAATAAAAAAGAAAACTCCTGATCAAACCACCACCAACAACAGCAAGTAGCAAGAAAATGAAAAAACTGCAGATAAAATCAGCAAAACCACCAAATCCTCATTCTAATGAATAACAAAACTGAGCTCCAGTTCACTTCTCAAATTACAAAAATATTAAGCCAAACTGTTGTTGCTGTGAGCACATTTTACCAACAGCTATGAAAACCAAATTGTTGAGACTCTCATGTGAGCTGACAGCGCCCTCCGGTGGTTCAGTTTTGCCTCTGACACAACAAAACAAGCATCAAAAATAACTGTGTGAGTTTGTGCGTTTACTAACCGAGCTGTAGTGACGTTTCAGTGTGGTAATATCCATCTTGCTGCTTCTTCTTCAACATAGAACAAAGATCCACCCGCTCCACCGTCTGATCTCCAAAGAATCTGTGGTGATGAAACGAAAAACAGTCACAATGACAGAAGATAAAGACGCAGCGAGCACTGAGGCCTCCAGCAGATAATAAAGGCAGATGTCAGTCATATAGCCGCTTGATGGCAAAGAGCAGCGGGGGTGACAGCCAAATTTAAGCCTTTTTCACACGCAGCAGGTGGGAGAGAGAGGATGAGCACTCGTAAGCTGGGAATTCAAAGGATTATTACCTGCGCTATTCTCATGCTGGAGTGATCAGATGTCAAATGTATTTTGCACTAGGGAGATGGCTTTAAATATATGGTACACTAGGTTTCTGTGTAAATTTGCATCTTAAAAACCACAAAAACTGAGTCAAAACATTACGAGATGCCATAATGTTCAAGCACCGTGTCATCTATAGCTGCTGTGTAAGTCTTACAATGGCCCCACTGCACAAGAAGTCCAAACCTTATAATGTGCTGTGCAGATTATGAATTTTTCATTGTATGAGAAACAAAGTACCTACTTGTCAGTGTAGTTGGAGTAAAGGGCCGGGTCCACACGCTTTATACCCTGAGAGAGACAAAGGAGAAAGGAAGTCGTATTAGTCACAGGTTGCGATAAACAAAGTGAAATTTCTGCACGCACACAAACGCACTGACAGGAAGAAGACAAGTACGCCGCCCGGCAGGCACCAGGAAGGATAAGGTAAGATAAAGTGTCAGAGGGAACGAGATAGATGCTATAATTCTTCTTCCCTCATCATCCACCCTCAACCATCTTTCATATCTTCTTTATTTATCTCCTCTCTCTTCTTGGTGTTTGGCCCTTAACCTTTACAGTAGTCATCACGAACTCTAAAGTGATATAAATTCAAATTTCTTCTTAGTTATTAATTCTAATGCCCATTATCAGTTTCTGCTGGAGCCACAATGTGACATTTACCTACAGCTGCAACATTTTAACAGCTTCTGAGAGGAAGGGGAGGGAGAAGCACCAGTGCAGATGGTGTAGTTAAAAGCAGCTTTTTATTAAAAACAACACAAACCTGAGATCGGAGTTTTGAAGCTCTGGACAGCTTCATAATGGTGAGGTGGGGTTCAAACCCTCGGCAGTCTCCTTGCAGAAGCCCCTGCTCCTCAAAACGGCTCCGCAACAACTCTGCAACAGACGTGGGCACATTTGTTCAATTAAATACTGAAAATAAGCACATCAAAAAATTCAGCACATTTTCACAGCAAACCAAAACAAGCACATTTAATAAACTAAAAGGAAGGATGATAACTGATATAATGATACACATGCATAAATATAGAGAACATGACGTGGATTCAAATGCACAATAACGTGACTCCATTTCTTCCGCTCAAGCATCTCGACTCTCTATTATAGATTTTTTTTACTGCTATAACAGAGCACACAAATGGAGCGGCCACAGATGGCTGAGAATGTGTGTCAGATGATGGGGGAAAAAGCTTTTAGCCAAAATGTCATTTAGCTACTGAGATAAAGATAGATAAGTGAACAAAGGCATGAACACACAGACAAGCCTGCAAGGACAAATATACAGACAAACAGTGTTTAGAGTCAGACTACAGAGGTATTTTTAGATGAGGAGCTCTACAGGGAGAGAAAGGTTAGTATATAATCAATACCAGTGGTGGAAAGTACAGACAAGATGACGAGAGGGCCTGACTTCCTGTCTTATATTTCCTTTTCTTATAGCACTTCCCATAAGGAATTTTGATTTGTAAATCTTCTGTCCCTACAGAGTAATTTTCTGCAAAAACAACAACCAGAGCCGTTCTTTATGAATGCTGCTTGTTAAACTTCCAACTTTTCTAAATGCTTCATAAGCAGGGCCTTAAAAGAAGCTTCAGTCTACGTGAAAACAAAGTTTATGTTTCAACATAAACTTTGTTTGCGGTACTAATGTTACTACTAATGAGGAAAGCCTTACAAACTCAGATTCACAGGGGGTGGAGGGGCCATTAAAATATTCCATTCATCCCATAAAATGTAACTCTACACCTTTAACTTGTTTAATATGCAAAGATCTATGACTTTCATATCAGCCCTTTTGCATTATCCTTCCACTTGCCTGCAACTCGTCCCCCAGAGTCCTCCACACTCTCAAATTCTCCAGCTTGTTTTGATAACCAGATGAGAAAAGCCCTGTTCATTAATGTCTTAACCAGGAGGTCCTGGAACAGGTCGTGGTGCTGCTGAAAATTCAATACAGCCATCCAAGCAAAGCTTTTACATACATTAACATTAGTGCAGTAAAAGCTTCCCAGCCAAAGAAACATCAGCATTTCCTTTGAACCTTAATTGTCACTTTGTCTCCTCTGTCTGCGTTTCTGTTTCGTCCGGAGGAGCGAAGCTCTCTGCTTCGACGTACACGACGAAGCAGAGAGCGGAGAAAAGAGCGAAACACCAGCAAGGACGTAACATCATCCAAACAGCATCACAACACAGCGATTCTGCGATACGTGGCACGCTGCTTTGACAGATCATGGCATCCATGCAACCAAAAGATAAAAAAACCTGCATAAAAGGTGTGAAATATGAATTTATTCCCTGCATTTTGGTCTCAGCGTGCATCAATACCATTTAATTTCAATGCAAGTGTTACCAGCTCTCCAGTTAGCATTCCCCACTGTCCGCCATTTAGTATTACCTGGTACTGTTCTCTGCTTCAAACAGCTTCAAGTTTCACTAAGAAGATTGATATCTGGTGCCAGCTTACTGATAATTGTATCATAACAGGATGTGATACACTATATACTCACATCAGCATTTCATCCCACTTCTTTTAAGTTAGATAACCTTGTCCCAAATCACTGGTTCTGGAAAGTTAGCCGCAGCTAATTACAGCCATGCCCAAAACCCATCGCTGTCTGATTTAGTGTTTTTGAGACTTGGATAAAATAAAATCCCCCTCAAACTCTCAGATCAAAAGTAATAATAGGTAGAAACTTTGCCTTTGTAGCTCTGTATAAAACAAAACGGCTTCTGTATTGCTGAATTACACCAAGCCCTGACACTCAATTCTTTCTGGGATTTGCCTTTGCTTGGCCAATGTAGCACATTTTTGGCTCTCAGCAGCAAATCTCAGCATGAGCAGCTACAAATCCCACAAAAACAGTAATGCTGCCCAAACACTATATGTTCACATTAATATAGAACATCTCTGTATCTCACAGAGGTAGAAACAATCGAAAAACCTTAAGTATCATACACACATTAATTACAGCATACTTCCAATTTAACTGTTAAGGGTGAAAATGGAAAGTATTAAGTGAAGGTCACCTCATTTACTGTGTATTATACGTGTGTGTGTGTGTGTGTTTGTGTGTGTGTGTGTGTGTGTGTTTTAGTGGTGCAAGAGCATTGGAGTGGGAATCCTCTTAGAAATGGCTTAATGTTGTTGCCGGAGGCACAACACAAAAACAAACATGCAAAAGATTCTGAAGGCACCCACACACGTGGATTTAGGCACAAGAAGAGAAATGTAGGAACAGAAATGTTCACACACACACACACACACACACACACACACACACACACGTACACAACAGAAAAGGAAAAACACCAAAAATTCCATTTTATTTAATCAGATTGACTAAATTACAGATGAGGACGTGTTCACACTGAAAAACAAATCAAAATGTGGACGTGTCTGCACTACACAGAGTATGACTTTAATCATTTCTACACGTTTGTACGACGTATAACTTTGACCTGGAGGTTCTTACCAAACTGGCTGCCATTTATTTTTAGAATTCCGCTATTCTCGTTTTACCAGGTCCTCTGTTGTCTCCGAGACAAACGTCAGGCTTAGACTTTCCATGACTTCTGAATGAGAGACTTATGACTTAAAACATCTTAAAGATCTTAAACATCTCATTCTCTTGCAGTTGTCTAATCATTGATACCCATAAGAAAGGCTCCACCACAGCAAGCATCCACCTGCATTAAGGTGTTTTAAGCTTCGTAGTGTCTCGAGAAGGAAAAACCCTCCAACTGTGCATACTTTTAATTGATCTCATATGTAGAAACGTAAGCAGACACTATTAGCTACTAGCAGCTCATTCCAACTTCAGACACCCCTCCAGAGTGCACACCAAGTACAATATCACATTAGCATTGAATTTCACCCTCTACTAAAGCGTGAAAAGCAAGTAGAACAAAAATGTCACTCAATGCTTTCAAACCTAAACACCAAAGAGACAGAGAGAGGAAGGATGACCACAAGAGCAAGAAGCTAAATGTTTGCCACTGACCTGCCAAGCTGTCCAGCGTGTGTCTGTGTTGTCCGGAGGCCAGTCCGACAAACACCACCTCCTTCCTGAAATGACTTATCCCTGAGAAGGGCAAGACCAGATCCCTCCCACCCAGCAACTCAGCCAGTGACGGCTCAACCTGAGCCAGCACCGCTGCCGCCCTATAAGGAAATATACACATGAATATGCACAACACACAAACACGCACACACATTCATGACTTAATCCCCTCTCTCGCTCCCTTCCTGTCATATTACATAATGGGAGAATCTAGTGATTACTAATAACACCATCTTCTTCTTGATGGGATTAAGCATCACTTCATCACATAACGCAGCTCCGATGTCCCTGAGTGTCACGGAGTTAGCTCACAAAAACACAGACTGCCTTTATATTTCCATCAGCCTCTAAAGCTATGCGAGAACAGCAATTTCAAACTCAAATCTTTATTTTTCTACCGACTTTCAATTTACTTCAGTTGTATATGATATGATATGTGCAGTGGCAGAATTTGAACTCATTTAGTATTTTAGCCTTTAGGATGTGTGTGGGACAGATATGTGCTGACAGAGTAAAAAATAACTGAAAATGCTTAAAATGCTTAAAAGAACGTTTAAGATGAAAATGATGTAATGAAATCCAATCCAGGGGCGTTTATTCACTTTAACTGACACATAAAATAGGTGATTTTTAATCTAAGCTGACTAAGACAAGGCTTACTCTAAAACATCCAAACCACTGGTAAAAATGTACAGCCTGACCGTCGTGGAAGTGCTGAGAGGAAAAGATAAGACACAAGCCGTACCTAATGTGACACGTTGGTAATTAGTCACTGCCGACACTGCATCCATATATTTACTTCTGCAACAGGATTTTGCCGAGCATTGCATTTTATGCTCAGAGAACAATAAAGAAAATGGAGAAACCGGAACAAAAGATGAATTAATATCTACATCCCAAGACACGACACCTGCTGTCACTGAGTACACCGCTGCTACATGCATGTGTGCATGTTTGGGGGAAAAAAAAGCTGCTGAGGATTCTCCGCATGGAGGAGGAGGAGCGACCCAACACAGTAATCTGGGGGATACAATGATCTCAGTGAGGGGCTGAAATTTGTTTTGGTAAAACAGTTTTTTGTTGCATAGCTTTGGTCATTTTATTTGCCACCCCTCTCTGAGCCTGGGTCTGCTGGAGGTTCCTTCCTGTTAAAAGGGAGTTTTTCCTTCCCACTGTCACCTAGTGCTTGCTCATAGAGGGTTGTGCAATACTGAAGGGTTTCTTTCTGACATTTTAGGGATTTTACCTTACAATATAAAGCACCATGAGGTGACTATGGTTGTAATTTGGCACCAAGTTTACCTGAGTTGAACTGAATTGAATCTGAGTCTTCTTAGGTACAATAATGAGCCTCGGCCCAGCCCTGTAATGTAGGATCCAATGTGTGTTATTTAAAAAAAAAAAGCTCTGAAGGAATGAATCAAAGAGCTGCAAGAATGTGTGTGTGTGTGTGTGTGTGAATGTGGCTCGCAGTGCTGGAGTGATCAATAACACCAGAAAAGTGGAATATAAAAAGCAACCCACAACGCTGTGAGCACTTAGATGATCATTTTCAGGCTCACAGAGAGAAGCTCTGCTGTAACTAATAACATTAACAATAGCCGTCTTTTTACTGTTACTACTCAAGGCCATTTTTAATGCTACGAGTAACAACTGAGTTCAAAATGGCTGCTGTAAAAAAATCATTTTGTTGTGGGATCAACAGAAGACTTTTGTGATAGAAGTCATTTTATTATGTCGCAGTAAGAAAAGGATGGGTATCTAAATGATAATTAACTTCCTGATGTAACTACTAAAACGTCATTTATTGCTGTCATGAACAATATAATGTCTGCTTTTTAATGTTATTGTGCTATAGCATGACCAAAATATGACATGCACTTACATTCTACAATGTAGTTATAGTTAGTTAAAGAAGCAAAGATCATTTCAGACAATTTGGGTGTCATAGTATTCATATGAACTTCTGTGTGTGTGTGTGTGTGTGTGATGTGGATGTCAGCATGCGCACCAACTCACAGGTCTACTTGCTCCTGATTGGCAAGATGAGTGACTAAAAGCGTTATGTGAAGAGTTGGGACAGGGATCATAGCTTTGGCCAGTCGGGGGTCCTGCTGGAGCACGGCCTCTTGGACCTCACTCACAGCTGAACTTATCTGTCAGTGGACAGAGAGCAGAAGTCAGTTAAAGGCCACGTCCTTAAACTGTGATTTGTGAGACACAATGTGCATAAACTCCACCTGCTCCAGCTTCTTACCTGAGTGTTAGTAATGGGGATGGAGACAAAGTAATTGGGTCGCTGGCTCTCTTTCTTTTTCTTCTTCTTGTCCCCATCGTCCTCACTGTCCACTCGGCCCTCGCTGTCTCCTCGCTTTCTCTTTCTCTTTTTCTTAGTTGACTCTTGGCTGGGGACTACGGACAACAGCAAAAGGTCCCAAATCGTGAAAACACATCCTATTTTGTTATGTAGTTCTAATAGAGTTGGAGGTGTAAAATATAAGCTATGAAAATATGAAGTTGCTTCTGATTCCGTTCCTCTAGCACCAACACCCACACATAAAAACTGGACATCATGCTAAGGATTTGCATGAAAATAAATATAATACAGGATCACGACAGTGAAAACAGACCACTTATTAGCCATAAGGTGCCCGCTTGACTTGTCATCAAGGCTTCTTAATAGTGGGGGAAAATGTTGCTAATTCAAGTAATTATAAAACATTAGGAACATACATAGTGCTTTCCATGTTGTTGGGCTGGCCAAAGCAAATGGAAGCTCTGACAATAAGTTTTCAGAAGTATCAGAAGACTTCAGCGTTTTCTTCATCAGTTTCTTCCTCTCCCTCCTCAACTTCCTTCTAGTCTTCTTCTCACTTGATCCTGAAGGAGCTGTCAAAAAAACAAACAAGTTTATCATACTGTATCTACATGAACTGAATATACAAATGAAAATAAAAGAACAGACATGCAGTCACAGGCATGGAGTGTCACCCACAGACTCGACACGGCTCATGAAATAGTGTGCTAGACACAGCACCAGAACCCAAAATTATGATACCCAAAATCTGAAAGTCTGAGAATCATACAAGACGTATTGGTACTGAGTACTAAGTTTCTGGCACCGAAACATTTTTACAGTGTGCTTAAGTTGCTTAAGTGCAGAATGCCGGCATAGAAGATCGTGTTCTTCTAACGTTAAATTATTGCTACTGTACGAGTCGTCATCTAAATTGCATCTGGACTTTGACTCAGGCAGAACCGCATTATAAAACGTGTTAAGCCATAAGCTTAAGAGTTTCTGGCAAAAACTTAAAGTTATGTTTGGTCACCTCATAAAATTTTAAAAAGCAGTTATGAAACCTTTTTCATTTAAATTCAATCATGCAAGGACACGTGGCAGTCGTGTTTACTACTCTATTGTTTTCCACGCTCACATTTGATAAATATTGCTTTGCTAAATAAAACACAGATTTCAAATTATGTGGTACCAGGAAGCCAACAAAAAAGTGAATCTATTCCCCAATTAAAACAAAGATTAGTCAGTATTGTATGACAGTTTCAGCCATTTAACTTACTGGACACCGAGGCAGCTTCAGGATCTGCAGGACTTTCCTGGACCTCCATGCCGACTGCCCCTGTCTGGGCTGAAGTCATCACCATCTCTCTCAGGTCCTTGTGCTCTTCTCCGACCTCCTTTCCTGCCAGATTTTCATCACCCTCATCATCCTCATCTGATGCAACTGCAGTTGTGTCTCTTCCGTAGGAGATGCTGGCTGGCTGCATATCACACACGGTGAGCAGATGATGATAGGACGGTGCTGTCACCTAAAACACAGAGGCCATGTATCATTTCCAGGTTACACTTTCTGCAGCCAGCTTGATTTTTCTCTTCATTACCTGAAATCTGAACCGCTGTGCAAGCGGCTTGAGGCGAAGAGCTCTGGCTTGTTGGGAATAACTGACAGATACTGAATGCTGACTCCTAAGCAGCACTTCATTAACAGCACTTATCCTCTGTAAACACGCGCTTTGTGAACGCTTAGACCCGAGGCTCAATATCACACGGCTGAAGATCATAACACACAAGTCTGTTCAATTTTAGATATAAACTTTTAGATTTTTAAACAGAGAAATGTATGAAGTAGGCATCACAGAGAACAACATTGCAACTACCACAAAAAACAAACAAACCCACAAGTCTGCAGCTTCTTATGAAACTCAAAATACTGACTTTACCTCCATTTACAACACCTGTTGAAATATATCAGAGCCATGCTGCAGAACATCTGCTGAGCTATACAACTGTTAGCTAACTCTCTCTAACGGAGCTGTGCTACTGTTTATCAAACTAAACGAAATACGCGCACATTTTTCTTACTTTTTTTATATCGAGCTGGCGCAAAAAGCACGCAGGTGGTAGTGTTTGTATCAAAACTGGTAAGGTAAATATCACAAAATAATATTCATGCCAACGCGCTAACTAGCAGGACCTACCGGAAGCATTCATTTGTAAACAATATCAAACTTCCGGTCTAGAAAAATAAAATAAAATAAACATTTTCAAAATAAAAGTACAAGTTATATGTGCTCTCCATTTAGGAAAACAAAGACACTAAAGACACAATCATATTCATCCAGCTTAGTTTATCTTCATATTTATTATTTCTTTCCACCGTAAATTTCCCTTTCACGAATGCCTCTCTGCAGAAGCTCTACGCCCCAGGGGGCCTCAAAACACAGTTTAAGTACCACAGTGCTAATCTAAAGAATTAATAACACGTCATTTATGTGACATTAATTTGGCGTTGCTAGCAAATCAAAGGACCGGATTAAACGTAATTATTCCGTCAATTACTAGAATACAGCGCAGTTTATGTTAGTTCATTTTTATTTAGATGACAAACTTTACACGAGCCAAAAAAAAAAAAAGAAAAAAAAAAGTTTGTCTCACACAATTTTTCATTTTCTATGAATATAATGTATACATCTATAAAGTGGCTTGTCATTGAATATGTGGTCTTTGCACTCTTTAGTCTTTCTTAGTGAATAAAAGTCAAGAATATAGAAAATAACAGCAGAAATATTAGCTGAACTAGGTTAAATTATACTGTAAATACACTGGTGTTTTGAACTGTTCAGGACCCCTCAATTTTTTCTTTTTTTTTTAAAAAAAGGAAAAAAGAAAAAGAAGACAGATGTTTTTTTAACATTTTTATTCACAATTTTAAACATTGGCTTATTTTTTTTTTCTGAAAGATGAAAATAACTTGCAGATTTACATAGCAACCGTGAAACTAATCACAATATATTTGACTTTGATATAAATATATTTATTATTTATCTTAATGATCAAAGGACTTACGATGTCACTGTGTACATATAGCTGTAACTGTCACTTTTGGGGTTTTTTTTAGAGATAAACAGCAGTTGGTACAGTTGAAAGTAGTTTTATGGCTATCTACACCCATATACTGTGTCTCTGACCTCTTCTTTGACACTTCATGATCACACCTGTTGACTCAGCAACTACCCTTACAGCTGAAATATCTTAAAGTACTGAAATAAAGGTCACAAAGACGATTCTGTGCTGCCCTTTTGTTTCACAATGCACAAAATAATTATTTTGCATGATCAAAACCATAAAATCCTTAAATCCTATGCAAATGGTCAGAGCAATCTGCACTACTCAAGTGATACAGTGCAAAAAAAGTGGATTACAAAAGAGCAATGCATGGGACATATTTACAGTTTCTTTGACTTGTGATGTCTGACTTTACACTATGAAAATCCAAAAAGGGATTGAATTCTCATTAATGCACCACCACTATTACTACTTTTAGCAGCTACATGTGTCTTTCCACTTGTATCTTTAATTGTCTGGATATCTGCGTGCTGCAGTAATGCCTTTCGAATTTCAGAAATGGCACTGTTATTTTGCTGACACTGCAACAATCCATGCACTGTCTCATGGTAGAAAACATGGAAAGGTAACACAACATTAGAAACATTATTCTGTATTTTCATTACAGTTACACACTTGGGTTCATGTGCGTGATGCATCAAAACCAGAATGACAGGCTGAGAACCTACAGAGAGCAAAAAAGAGGAGACGGATTACGAGAGCATAACATAACAGTGGAAAAGTATTAAAAGAAAAAAAATTTAATGGCCACAGATTTTCTTATACTATAGAAACATTAGACAAAATTCATGCTATTCCTGATGCTTTTAAAAGCTCATCATTATTATGAGTTACTTTCAGGTCATATTCTCAAACCCAAAAAATGTCTCATAAAACACAACTGCAATTTTTTGAATGGATGACTAATTTAATTCTTTCCCTTACCTTTGACTTGCGTCATGGCTGCATCAATATCTGTCCCCATACGTGAAACAATGGGACAGAAGACAATAATGGCCTGGCAATCCTGATTGCTGTCTTCCTGTTCGATCAAATTCAAATCTGGCTCCTCACTTAAAGCCTTTACTTTTTCCAGTATCTGTTGATGGGCATTAAAGGTTTTTCCACTTATCACCATCTTGTACTTCAGTGTGGCTATAGAAATAATACAAAAAATTACAAATAAAGAGCAAGTTAAATTCACAGGAGAATCAACTTAAACTTCCTGGAATACAGTGATTCATGATAAATGAAATAAAAGACTTTGCTTCAATGAGTGAAATCAATTTATTAATATAGCACAAAAGATTCTTGCTTAAATTTCAAAACATTACTAGAATGATTAACAGAGCTGTCTGAGTCTTTTATATATAAAGTTTTGAGTTGAACAGGTTTTAAACATAGTGTTTTAGATCATCTAAATGCAAATATAAAAATGTTAAGCATTCTCGAAAACAATATATGTGCTCAGGTAACTATACAATATGCAGCTGAAATTTTAGGGTTTATTTTTCAATACAATTTTTTAGAGTGGAACAAAATATCATTTGATACACTGTACTGCCAAAGGTATTTGCTTGTCTGCTTTTACACACATATGAACTTAAGTGGCATACCATTCTTAATCTATATGGTTTAATATGATGCCAGCCCATTGTTTTCAGCTATAACAGTTTCTAACTCTTCTCGGTAGGCTTTCCACAACGTTTAGGAGTGTTTGTGGGAGTTTTTGAGCATTCTTCCAGAAGCACATTTGTGAGGTCAGACATTGATGTTGACGAGAGGCCCTGGCTCGCAATCTCTGCTTTAATTCAACCGAATGATGTCCTGTTAGGTTGAGGTCAGGATTCTGTCCAGGCCAGTCAATTTCAGTCATGTTCCTTCTATGTTGGAATAGAAAGGGGGCATCTCCAAACTGTTCCCACAAAGTTGGGAGAATGAAATATTTCAAAATGTCTTGGGTTGCTAAAGCATTAAGGGGCCGAGCCCAATTCCTGAAAAACCATGCCCCATGATCCAAGCTATGATCCCCCTTCCACCAAACTTTGCACTTGGCACAATGCTGTCAGACAAGTACTGTTTTCCTGGCAATTGCCAAACCCAGACTCAACAATCAAATTGCCAGACAAAGACCTGTGATTCGTCACTCGAGAGAACACGTCTCAAATGCTTCAGTAATGTCGTGTTTTACACCACTGCATCTAACACCTTGGACTTATTGAAATAAAGCTTGGATCTAGCATCTTGGCTATGGAAAACCATACCATGACTCTACGCATTATGTGCCTCCGCTAAATCCGCTCTGTGATTTTACGTGGCCTACCACTTGGTGGCTGAGTTGCTGTCATTCCCAATCATTTTCAGTCACTGAGAGTTGATTGTGAAATATTTAGCAGCAAGAAAATTTTACAACTGCACTTGTCAGACAGCTGGTGTTTTTTTCACGATACCATGCTGGAATTCGCAGAGCTCCTGAGAGTAAATTATTCTTTCAGAATTGTCTGTAGAAGCAGTCTGCATGGCTAGGTGCTTGATTTTATACACCTGTGACCATGGAAGTGATTAGAACACCTGAATTCAATCATCTGGATGGGTGATTACCTCTGGCAATATAGTGTGTATAACAGTGTATTAAGTTAGATTTCTGAGATTTTTTTTTAACATATAATAAGTGAATATTGAATATTGCCTGGAGTTGGAAACCTTAAAACCTGGTCAATAATACAACCTTACATTTTAACAGTGAAGAGCTAAATTTACCTTGTCTTTTCTGTGGATGGTCATGCTTGAAAGAAGGAGAGCGTGAGAACCGATTTGCACTACTGGTACTTGTATCTAACAAATATTGATGTAAAACAGCTATGTAGCTATGTTTGGCTATTTAACAATAGCCATACATAGCTCCATATGCATGTGTCTGTGTGTCACTAGAGTGTAAGTAAAAGAAGGTGAAATTTACCTTGTTGTATTTCTGGAAGGTCACTAGTTTGGCTATTCTCACTACTTGACGAAGAACCTGTTGAGTACAAGGGCATAACGCATTTACAAGAAATTAAAAAAAAAAAACTTATGAATGTATGTAAAAATCTTAACTGTACTTAAGTAATAATATATATCGTCATATACTATAGTTTTATACTATATGTAAGGGGTTTCTGAAAATCTATCCTGTGAATGACAACATAGCAGAATTTCGACTGACTTGACCTTTTCCATGTGTTTGTGATTCATGTGCAAGATTTAACACTTGAAGCAGACTGCTACACCAGCGGATTTTGTGGCAGGAACTTAAATCAGATAAAATTACACAAATGTTTGCACTTTTA